TTCTTCTGACACCCACCTGACAGCATCCTTGATCCATTTTACTTGTTAAATCTACTTATTGAATAGATCAGAACGATGGTAATGTACCACATTAAATCACATAACCACTCCTTTTCTTTCTTCATTTGTTCGATGTTATGAGATCTAGCCTTTATCTTGTTTGAGTCAGTCCCGGGGAACCTGTCAAGCTACAACACAATAAGCACATGTATTTATCCCCATGTTATATCCAAGTTCTTGATCACAGCCCCAAGTTTCGACTGATCTAGAACAGGGGCCTCATCGGGGAGGACGAGGCTTTCGCAAGGTGCGCCCACCTGCTGGATCAACTCTTCGATGCCCTGCCCATCTGTAAAAGACCATACACGGACGTATCTCGACCCAAACTCAAGCTTAAAAGATTGTCCTGCCGCAATCATAACTGTCTCACCCTCGTGGAGGGTTACCCATTCCGAATCACCCTTGAGATTCACGCGAAGAGCACCTTCTTGTACACAGAGGCAGTGGTCCACAGTCGGAAAGGCCACGTATTCTGAAAACAAGGAGGAGCTATATAGACTGGAGGACTCAATGCTCGAGATGGAAAATTTTCCTGCGCTCTCCCGGGTGGTAATAAAGGGCCGTGACATGACACCTCCAGCCATCCAACGAGGCCCGGTGTTGGCGCGAAGGAAAAACGGTTTCAATTCTGCGGACGGGAAAACATTCTCGGTTCCTTCCCACTCTCCCAATGCAGGAGGATCATAATCTCTGACAAAATGTACGTCAAAGTCCTTGGGAGCCGACATGACTTTCGGTATCACATGGGACTTGAGATCTCGATCATCATGCTCTGGTACCAGGATGCCTTCAAACGGTTCACTGACATAGCGGAAGAAGTCAATCCAGTCTCCAGGAACTACTAGACCCAGTGTCTCAGTGTGAGGGCCAAGTAATTCCGGGTTGTGAATAATGTTCTGGTCTATCGTCAGTTTCTGTGTAGATGGCGAAGACACAAAGCAAATCAACTTACCGGAGGTACATACGCAAAATCCCCAGGGCCCATTATACGGCATTGTTCGCCATTCCAGAGCTTCAAGAAGCCCTTGGTCACCATGAAAACGTCGTGGGCTTCTTTGTGGTAGTGGAATCCCGGCGCATCGGAGATAACAGCACCGCTCTGGAAAACTGACATTCGCCCATCGGTTTGCTTGGCCGACGCAAGGATTCGGAATGTCCCTTTACTTCCAGGTATAGAAAGGCGTTCTCCCTCCAGCTGCTGTATAATATAGCTGGTGCGAGACGGCGGCGGCGTTGAGTGGATAGGGATAGTCATGTTGGAGGATATGTGATAAGTCTAGAATAACGGTACCATACAGGCAAGTCTTGGGCAGCGATTATATCGTACAAAGAGCCTTCCACGAAAGTAGAGACTTTGACAGAAATGTCTTGGGGATGGAACAGTGGACGGTACGCTGAAGTAACAGATTTGGTTAGGCTCGGTACTTGCCGTGCCAAGGTCCGAACGGTTTGATGACGAGTCCTCGGGAATTCCGAGGACGCAGGGTGGCTCGGAACACGATGAACCCCACTCCTACGATGACCATGAAGAAGAATATGAACAGCTTTTTCCATGTATCACGGCGCTTTGGTAACCGACAGCATTTCCAGAGGTTACAGTGCGCACAACATGGCGAGCCCAGTTCCGTTCAAGGTTATTTACAAAGTCGAACAAGGTAGCGAAATTGATGCCACCGTCTTTTTGCCTTTTGACTCACACGCGCCATGTCCAGTTTGTGAGTCTCCTCGATCTACTTACACCGTTCTGTATTTGGCACCTAACATACCACGTAGTAATTAACATCCATGGAGGAGCTTTCATGCTGGGTGCATCGGAAATGGTTAATCAGGAACAGATCAACGCGTGTCTTGATCGGGGCTGGATTGTAGTCGTCCCTAACCATCGGCTTTGCCCACAAGTTGACCTGCTCGAAGGCCCAATGCAAGATTGTAGGGATCTCCTTGGCTGGATATATGACCACGGGCTGGAACGTTCCATCCATCAAAACCACTATCCACACACGTGCGACCTTGCGCATGTTTTTGCTTTCGGAACATCATCCGGAGGCCATCTGGCTTTATCACTAGTAAGTCCGAGAACTCAATCATCAAGACTGCGATATTGACATTTGGTTCTCTTCTTCAAGGGTTTTGGAGTGCCCCGCCCAGTCGCTGGTATCTTGGACTTTTACGGGCCTTGTTCATTTGATGACCCATTCTGGACATCATCACTCCCGCATGTGGCTGCGAAATTGCCTTCGAATCTAACACCAGAGTTCCTCAATCGTGTCTTTGAGAAAGATCCGGTTCCAATTCGCGGAGGAGTTTCCCTCGAAGGTCAAGCTAGTGCGGCTGGTCCGAATTTCGACGACCCACGACAGGCTTTTGCCTTGACACAGATCGCTAATGGAAAGGTTTTGGATACCATCTTTCCGTCTCGAGACTGGCAAAAAATCGATCCAATCCTGAACATCAAGTCGCAATTCCCCCCGACATTCATCATTCACGGACTAGCGGATACTATGGTGCCTATCTCATTGAGCAGGGCTCTAGTCCAGGAATTAAAAAAGCATAACGTACAATCTCAACTATTAGAGATCCCGAATGAAGAACACACTTTTGCGGCACGGATGGAAGTGGGCTCATCAACTTGGAATCTACAAAAAAAAGGTTTCGATTTTCTCGGGGACTTGATAAAGGATTGAGAGCAACTGGTATAGTTTGTAGTGGATAGATTACCTTCATATCTCAGACAATTCTACGATGCACCAGCGAGGATCCGAGGTCGCGTGATGGTGGTACGATTGATGGACATTGGAATAATTCAAGCTACCGGCTGTTGTGCGAGACGAGCAAAATGACGTTGAGTATTGCAAACAGCGGCCGTTTGCAAAGTTAGCATCAAGGCGTTAAGAAAAACGGAGGTTTTGTATGGAAACCTTTGATTTTATGATGTGGATCAAGTTTCGGGGGCTTTGTTGTGATACCTGTTTTGACCAGCGGCAAGACAGAATATTAGCAGAAGCACGAGCCGGAATCGGTTGATATTGGAGAAGCACGCGCTCCAGTCGAGCAGCGATGGTGGAGAAGGACAACGATGACGACAGAGGGTTCAGCTGTTGACGCGTGTTGGGGTGCCTCGGGATGACAGAAGAAATGGCCGCTAAGAACAAAGAAGACATATTAGTTTAGTTGCCTTATACAAGTGTAGACCAGCTATTAGACTACTTTATTTTGACA